CCCACAGAGTTACAAAATCTGGATTACAATTCAATGTCAGAAAGCCAATTCAGAAGCACTATTATACAGCTACTGGTGGCTCTAGAAAAAAGCATAAAGGACTCAAGAGACTTCATGACTGCAGAATTTAGATCCAATCAGGCAGAAATTAAAAATCAATTGAATGAGATGCAATCCAAACTAGAAGTCCTAACGAGGGTTAACGAGGTGTAAGAACGAGTGAGTGACATAGAAGACAAGTTGATGGCAAAGAGGGAAACTGAGGAAAAAAGAGACAGACAATTAAAAGACCATGAAGACAGATTAAGGGAAATAAACGACAGCCTAGGGAAGAAAAACCTACGTTTAATTGGGGTTCCCGAGGGCACCGAAAGGGACAGAGGGCCAGAATATGTATTTGAACAAATCGTAGCTGAAAACTTTCCTAATCTGGGAAGGGAAACAGGCATTCAGATCCAGGAAATATAGAGACATCCCCCCCCTAAAATCAATAAAAACCGTTCAACAACTCGACATTTAATAGTGAAGCTTGCAAATTCCAAAGATAAAGAGAAGATCCTTAAAGCAGCAAGAGACAAGAAATCCCTGACTTTTATGGGGAGGAGTATTAGGGTAACAGACCTCCCAGAGACCTGGCAGGCCAGAAAGGGCTGGCAGGATATATTCAGGGTCCTAAATGAGAAGAACATGCAACCAAGAATACTTTATCCAGCAAGGCTCTCATTCAGAATGGAAGGAGAGATAAAGAGCTTCCAAGACAGGCAGGAACTGAAAGAATATGTGACCTCCAAACCAGCTCTGCAAGAAATTTTAAGGGGGACTCTTAAAATTCCTCTTTAAGAAGAAGTTCAGTGGAACAATCCACAAAAACAAGGACTAAATAGATATCATGATGACACTAAACTCATATCTTTCAGTAGTAACTCTGAACGTGAACGGGCTTAATGACCCCATCAAAAGGCGCAGGGTTTCAGACTGGATAAAAAAGGAGGACGCATCTATTTGCTGTCTACAAGAGACTCATTTTAGACAGAAGGACACCTACAGCCTGAAAATAAAAGGTTGGAGAACCATTTACCATTCAAATGGTCCTCAAAAGAAAGTAGGGGTAGCCATCCTTATATCAGATAAACTAAAATTTACCCCGAAGACTGTAGTGAGAGATGAAGAGGGACACTATATTATACTTAAAGGTTCTATCCAACAAGAGGACTTAATCCTCAATATATATGCCCCGAATGTGGGAGCTGCCAGATATATAAATCAATTAATAACCAAAGTGAAGAATACTTAGATAATAATACACACTACTTGGTGACTTCAATCTAGCACTTTCCACACTTGATAGGTCTTCTAAACACAACATCTCCAAAGAAACGAGAACTTTAAATGATACACTGGACCAGATAGATTTCACAGATATCTACAGAACTTTACATCCAAACTCAACTGAATACACATTCTTCTCAAGTGCACATGGAACTTTCTCCAGAATAGACCACATACTGGGTCACAAATCGGGTCTGAACTGATACCAAAAGATTGGGATCATCCCCTGCATATTCTCAGACCATAATGCCTTGAAATTAGAACTAAATCACAACAAGAAGTTTGGAAGGACCTCAAACACGTGGAGGTTAAGGACCATCCTGCTAAAAGATGAAAGGTTCAACCAGGAAATTAAGGAAGAATTAAAAAGATTCATGGAAACTAATGAGAATGAAGATACGACCGTTCAACATCTTTGGGATGCAGCAAAAGCAGTCCTGAGGGGGAAATACATCGCAATACAAGCATCCATTCAAAAACTGGAAAGAACTCAAATACAAAAGCTAAACTTACACATAAAGGAGCTAGAGAAAAAACAGCAAATAGATCCTACACCCAGCAGAAGACGAGAATTAATAAAGATTCAAGCAGAACTCAACGAAATCGAGACCAGAAGAACTGTGGAACAGATCAACAGAACTAGGAGTTGGTTCTTTGAAAGAATAAATAAGATAGATAAACCATTAGCCAGCCTAATTAAATAGAAGAGAGAGAAGACTCAAATTAATAAAATCATGAATGAGAAAGGAGAGATCACTACCAACACCAAGGAAATACAAACGATTTTAAAAACATATTATGAACAGCTCTACGCCAATAAATTAGGCAACCTAGAAGAAATGGAGACATTCCTGGAAAGCCACAAACTACCAAAACTGGAACAGGAAGAAATAGAAAACCTGAACAGGCCAATAACCAGGGAGGAAATTGAAGCAGTCATCAAAAACTTCCCAAGATACAAAAGTCCAGGGCCAGATGGCTTCCCAGGGGAATTCTATCAAACGTTTAAAGAAGAAACCATACCTATTCTACTAAAGCTGTTTGGAAAGATAGAAAGAGATGGAGTACTTCCAAACTCATTCTATGAGGCCAGCATCACCTTAATTCCAAAACCAGACAAAGACCCCACCAAAAAGGAGAATTATAGACCAATATCCCTGATGAACATGGATGCAAAAATTCTCAACAAGATACTAGCCAATAGGATCCAACAGTACATTAAGAAAAGTATTCACCATGACCAAGTAGGATTTATCCCCAGGACACAAGGCTGGTTCAACACTCATAAAACAATCAACGTGATTCATCATATCAGCAAGAGAAAAACCAAGGACCATAGGATCCTCTCATTAGATGCAGAGAAAGCATTTGACAAAATACAGCATCCATTCCTGATCAAAACTCTTCAGAGTGTAGGGATAGAGGAAAAATTCCTCAACATCTTAAAAGCCATCTACAAAAAGCCCACAGCAAATATCATTCTCAATGGGGAAACACTGGAAGCCTTTCCCCTAAGATCAGGAACAAGACAGGGATGTCCACTCTCACCACTGCTATTCAACATAGTACCAAAAGTTCTAGCCTCAACAGTCAGACCACAAAAAGACATTAAAGGCATTCAGATTAGCAAAGAAGAAGTCAAACTCTCCCTCTTCGCCGATGACATGATACTCTACATAGAAAACCCAAAAGCCTCCACCCCAAGATTGCTAGAACTCATACTGCAATTTGGTAGTGTGGCAGGATACAAAATCAATGCCCAGAAATCAATGGCATTCCTATACACTAACAATGAGACTGAAGAAAGAGAAATTAAGGAGTCAATCCCATTTATAATTGCACACAAAAGCATAACATACCTAGGAATAAACCTATCCAAAGAGGTAAAGGATCTATACCCTAAAAACTATAGAACACTTCTGAAAGAAGTTGAGGAAGACACAAAGAGGTGGAAAAATATTCCATGCTCATGGATTGGCAGAATTAATATTGTGAAAATGTCAATGTTACCCACGGCAATATACACGTTTAATGCAATCCCTATCAAAATACCATGGACTTTCTTCAGAGAGTTGGAACAAATTATTTTAAGATTTGTGTGGAATCAGAAAGACCCCGAATAGCCAGGGGAATTTTAAAAAAGAAAACCATATTTGGGGGCATCACAATGCCAGCTTTCAGGTTGTACTACAAAGCTGTGGTCATCAAGACAGTGTGGTACTGGCACAAAAACAGGCACATAGATCAATGGAACAGAATAGAGAACCCAGAAGTGGACCCTCAACTTTATGGTCAACTAATATTCAATAAAGGAGGAAAGACTATCCATTGGAAGAAAGACAGTCTCTTCAATAAATGGTGCTGGGAAAATTGGACATCCACATGCAGAAGAATGAAACTAGACCACTCTCTTGCACCATACACAAAGATAAACTCAAAATGGATGAAAGATCTAAATGTGAGACAAGATTCCATCAAAATCCTAGAGGAGAACATAGGCAACACCCTTTTTGAACTCAGCCACAGTAACTTCTTGCAAGATACATGCACGAAGGCAAAAGAAACAAAAGCCAAAATGAACTATTGGGACTTCATCAAGATAAGAAGCTTTTGCACAGCAAAGGATACAGTCAACAAAACTAAAAGACAACCTACAGTTTGGGAGAAGATATTTGCAAATGACGTATCAGATAAAGGGCTAGTTTCCAAGATCTATAAAGAACTTATTAAACTCAATAGCAAAGAAACAAACAATCCAATCATGAAATGGGCAAAAGACATGAAGAGAAATCTCACAGAGGAAGACATAGACATGGCCAACATGCACATGAGAAAATGCTCTGCATCACTTGCCATCAGGGAAATACAAATCAAAACCACAATGAGATACCACCTCACACCCGTGAGAATGGGGAAAATTAACAAGGCAGGAAACCACAAATGTTGGAGAGGATGGGGAGAAAAGGAAACCCTCTTACACTGTTGGTGGGAATGTGAACTGGTGCAGCCACTCTGGAAAACTGTGTGGAGGTTCCTCAAAGAGTTAAAAATAGACCTGCCCTATGACCCAGCAATTGCACTGTTGGGGATTTACCCCAAAGATTCAGATGCAATGAAACGCCGGGACACCTGCACCCCAATGTTTATAGCAGCAATGTCCACAATAGCCAAACTGTGGAAGGAGCCTCCTTGTCCATCGAAAGATGAGTGGATAAAGAAGATGTGGTTTATGTATACAATGGAATATTACTCAGCCATTAGAAATGACAAATACCCACCATTTGCTTCAACGTGGATGGAACTGTAGGGTATTATGCAGAGTGAAGTAAGTCAATCGGAGAAGGACAAACAGTGTATGTTCTCATTCATTTGGGGAATATGAATAATAGTGAAAGGGAATATAAGGGAAGGGAGAAGAAATGTGTGGGAAATATCAGAAAGGGAGACAGAACATAAAGACTCCTAACTCTGGGAAACGAACTAGGGGTGGTGGAAGGGGAGGAGGGCAGGGGGTGGGGATGAATGGGTGACGGGCACTGAGGGGCGCACTTGACGGGATGAGCACTGGGTGTTATTCTGTATGTTGGTAAATTGAACACCAATAAAAATTAATTTATTAAAAAAATTAATTTATATAAAAATAATAATAGAAGTTGTCTGAGCATGTCGGTCGGAGGCTGCTGGGCTGGGGCCGGGACTCTGCGACTACCCAGCCTCAGACTACTCTGGAAGGTGATTTACCTAACTTATCTACTGAGAAGTTTGTCCCTCTTCAGTGACATTTTAACATCATAGATCTTTAAATGGAGGAGATGGCTACCACTCAGATTTCCAAAGATGAGCTTGATGAACTCAAAGAGGCCTTTGCAAAAGTTGATCTCAACAGCAATGGATTCATCTGTGACTATGAACTTCATGAGCTTTTCAAGGAAGCCAATATGCCATTACCAGGATATAAAGTGAGGGAAATCATTCAAAAACTCATGCTGGATGGTGACAGGAATAAAGATGGGAAGATAAGTTTCGATGAATTTGTCTATATTTTCCAAGAGGTAAAAAGCAGTGACATTGCCAAAACCTTCCGCAAAGCAATCAACAGGAAAGAAGGGATTTGTGCTCTGGGAGGCACTTCAGAGCTGTCCAGTGAAGGAACACAGCATTCTTACTCAGAGGAAGAAAAATACGCTTTCGTTAACTGGATAAACAAGGCTTTGGAAAATGATCCTGACTGCAGACATGTTATACCCATGAACCCAAATACCGATGACCTATTCAAAGCTGTTGGTGATGGAATTGTGCTTTGTAAAATGATCAACCTTTCAGTCCCCGATACAATTGATGAAAGAGCAATCAACAAGAAGAAACTTACACCCTTCATCATTCAGGAAAACTTGAACTTGGCCCTGAACTCCGCTTCTGCCATCGGGTGTCACGTTGTGAACATCAGTGCAGAGGATTTGCGGGCTGGGAAACCCCATCTGGTTCTGGGACTCCTCTGGCAGATCATTAAGATCGGTTTGTTCGCCGACGTTGAATTAAGCGGGAATGAAGCCTTGGCTGCCTTACTTCGAGATGGTGAGACTTTGGAGGAGCTTATGAAATTGTCTCCGGAAGAGCTTCTGCTCAGATGGGCAAACTTTCACTTGGAAAACTCGGGCTGGCAAAAAATCAACAACTTTAGTGCTGACATCAAGGATTCCAAAGCCTATTTCTATCTTCTCAATCAAATTGCACCAAAAGGACAAAAGGAAGGTGAACCGCGTATAGATATTAACATGTCAGGTTTCAACGAAACAGATGATTTGAAGAGAGCCGAGAGTATGCTTCAACAGGCTGACAAGTTAGGTTGCAGACAGTTTGTTACCCCTGCTGATGTGGTCAGTGGAAACCCCAAACTGAACTTAGCCTTTGTGGCTAACCTGTTTAATAAATACCCAGCACTAACCAAGCTGGAGAACCAGGATATTGACTGGACTCTACTGGAAGGAGAAACTCGTGAAGAAAGAACCTCCCGTAACTGGATGAATTCTCTTGGAGTTAATCCCCATGTAAACCATCTCTATGCTGACCTGCAAGATGCCCTGGTAATATTACAGTTGTATGAACGAATTAAAGTTCCTGTCGACTGGAATAAGGTTAATAAGCCTCCATACCCGAAACTCGGAGCCAACATGAAAAAGCTAGGAAACTGCAACTACGCTGTTGAACTGGGGAAGCATCCTGCCAAATTCTCCCTGGTTGGGATCGGAGGGCAAGACCTGAATGATGGAAACCAAATGCTGACATTAGCTTTAGTCTGGCAGCTGATGAGAAGATACACCCTCAATGTTCTGGAAGACCTTGGAGATGGGCAGAAAGCTAATGATGACATCATCGTAAGCTGGGTGAACAGAACATTGGCTGAAGCTGGAAAATCAACTTCTATTCAGAGTTTCAAGGACAAGACGATCAGCTCCAGTTTGGCAGTTGTGGACTTAATTGACGCCATCCAGCCGGGCTGCATAAACTATGACCTTGTTAAGAGCGGCAACCTGACAGAGGATGACAAGCACAATAATGCCAAGTACGCCGTGTCCATGGCTAGAAGAATTGGAGCCAGGGTGTACGCTCTCCCCGAAGACCTTGTGGAAGTAAAGCCCAAGATGGTCATGACTGTGTTTGCATGCTTGATGGGCAGGGGGATGAAGAGGGTGTAAAAAATCACCCATGGAAATAAAAAACAACCTTGCTCCCAGGTGTATGATTGGCAGGTCAGCTCTTCCCAGGTGCAGTGCTCATGGCTTAAGGAACCGTTGGTCATTCAAAGGACTCATAGTTGTGATTCACAAGACTCCTCATCTTGAGAACTCACAGGGGAAAGAGTTTTAATGGAAACACCTCCTCTTTCCCGGAGTCAAAGTCAGATTTGTCAGGCACACCTGAAATGCACTCATGGCCAAATCATTTACTCCCGCCTCCTACATCGCTGGCCTTGACTTTTCCCATTGCTGTATTGTCATTTCTGTGTATCTTCCCCCCACCCCTTAGAATGTCCACCTCTTGGGACTTGCTTAGATGATTCGATATGAATATCATTAGACCATAAGTTTGCTTTCCATCCAGGATGCTAGTTCTTGTTTGAGAGCTGTGGCCAGAGGGTATTTGGACAGGAGTATCCTTCGCTTATCTTTGTAGTACTGAAAATTAGCAGAACTGGCTGTGCAGAATGTAATAGAAGCTTTTCGTATTCTTTTATTCTTAAAATCTTAAAATAAGTATCTTTTTACAGTATTCTTTCTACGTGATCTTTTTTGTACATTTAAGGATATTTTGATTACATTAAATAAGACTGCTTATTTTGCTACTTTTTTAAAGGGGTCTTCAAGTACGTAAAAACCATACATTATAGGTAGAGGAAAAGTGTTCCTTGATTTTGCATCTGCCCTCTCACACCCAAGCTGTAAACAGTTGACATATTTTGTCTTAAAAGACTTGGTTCAATATATGCTTATTTGTTTTAAAACCTGTATCATCAAACTCTCTCTTTAGATTGAAAATGCTGTTGAATATGACACTTTTGAGGAGAGAGTATGCTCAGAACGTGGACAGGATACGTAGGCCAAGCATGCTAAGCATACCATAAATTTTCTAATTTTACACCTAAAACAAGTAGATGAGGTCACTAAAAAATAAAAATACATATGTAAGACTTAATGTACTCTTGCTTTGTCAAGCTGTTTGCTGTACTTTCTGAGATCATAATGTTACGCTAACACTGAAAAGTGATGTAATCTGGTAGCAATGCATTAGTTCAAATAAAGGCATTTACATAAAAAATAATAATAATAAAATAAAATCTTTAAAAGAATAAATAAAAATAAGTAAAAAAAATAATCCATACATACAGTATAAGAGAACATTATATAGATCCCAAATAAAACAAAATAAAATTTTATTAACATGCAAGCATTGAATCAATGAAGAGATAAATTGTGTTTGTGAATGAGAAGGCCCGAGAGTCTAAAGATGTTTTTCCAATCTTTATTTACTTAATTTAATTTTAGTAATACTCTCAAAATGTCTTTTTTTTTCTTATTCAAATCCTCAAGTGCTTCTAAAACTGTTCTTAAATAAGAAAGAGGTAAAAAGTGCTACAAATAGGGACACCTGGGTAGCTCACCGGTTGAGCGTTTGCCTTCAGGTCAGGTCGTGATCCTGGGTCCAGTGATCGAGTCCCACAGGGATTAAGTCCCACATAGGGCTCTCTCTGTCTGTGTCTCTGCCTCTCTCTCTCTCTGTCTCTCATAAATAAATAAATAAATAAATAAATAAATAAATAAATAAATAAACAAATAAATAAATAAATAAATAAACTTTGTAAAAAATTGGTACAAATAGTTTGAAATAGTAGAGAAAAAAGGAAATTTCCCTATTAGATATTAAAACATATTTAACCACCATCATAGGTAAAAGAAAGTTGAACTGGCATAAGAATAAGCAAGCAGTTTAGGACAAAGAAAATTGATAAGCTGAAACAATATTATTATCAGCATATTGGTGTTAAAGGGAATGGTATTCCTAAGAACTTGGAAGTAAGGAAATGTGCTTACTCTCAGAGAACTGAGTTGTGAAATCAGTATATAATTGTACATATAAAATCACCATAAAGAAGCATATGATTGTTTACATTTTAATACAACGGTAGCCTAATGCCAAAACATCAGATAGTTTTTCAAATTAACTTAGTTAGTCCTATCTGTCTTCCATTTTTTATTGTTATTCTGAGCTATGTGCCAGTTGGCCTCACAGAATTGGAATGCACTGGTCTTGGAGATATGAGTGTGTGGTCATTGTGACACACTTCTTACCGTAAATGAATTCACTGACAGTGAATATATATTAGTCTTGTGTGAGTTTGGTTTTGTATATTGGTCTTGTATGGGTTTGGTTCAGAAATATTATTCCTAAGAGAAAAATCTATTTTTGACATGTTGACAGATTAGGATTTGGACTACGTCAGGCAGAAAGCCAGATTTTGAAGTATAGTAAATTCATCATGGAATTGCCTTGCTAAGAAAAGTCTTAGAAGGCAGTCTGATGGCTGTCTCTAGATGATGTCTGACTTGATGGCTATGTGAATTGTGATTTTCTTTTGTGATTTCTTCATGTGATGTTTAGTCCTTAAGAAATATATAATTAGTGAAATTGTGCTTTTTCAATAAAATATATTGGGAAATTAGAGTATTTAGCATGAAATTAATATGGACACATTTCTCTCACATTCATAAAAGTTAATTCCAAGTGTACTAAAGCACTAAATGTGAAAAAGGACAGGGCAGCCCCGGTTACTCAGCGGTTTAGTGCCGCCTTCAGCCCAGGGCCTGATCCTAGAGACCCTGGATCGAGTCCCACGTTGGGCTCCCTGCATGGAGCCTGCTTCTCCCTCTGCCTGTGTCTCAGCCTCTCTCTCCCTCTGTGTCCCTCATGAATAAATAAATAAAATCTTGCAAAAAAATTAAAGGAAGGACATATTAAAACGCTAGACAAAACCGAAGGTGAATATTTGCCTCATCTCTGGATGAGAATAACTTTCTGGATATTAGCATGATAAAAATATTTCATAAAAAATTAAGATTTGACCTAAAAGCATTTAAATTCTGTGTGAACATAAAAATTGTAACTAAAGTTGAAAATAAAATTATTAAGTATTGGTTATAAATAGACAATCAGATAGTATCTATAGTCTATGAGGATATTCTGAAGAAAATGTCAGAACCTACAATTAACAGAAATGGCACAATTGGAAGTAATTCACAAAAGAGGAAATACATGTGATTGATAAACTGATGAAAATGCACCCAATCTGACAGTAAAAGAAATGCAAATTAGCACAGAAATTGGGTATAATTTTTAACTACCAAATTAATAATTAATAGCAATATTAATGTTTAAAGCTTGACTGAGACAGATAAACTCTTATACTAACTGAAAGTAAAATAATTTAAAGTTTTTGGAAGGTAATTTATTGATTTTTACAGAAGTGTACTTATCTATTCTTTAAAAGGGGGGAAAGAGTAAATTCTTTGTCTTCCAGGGTAGAAGTTTCTATATTTGGCTGTTTAGGGCAGTCATTTAAATAGATTAAAAACTTAAAGAGCAATTATAAATATGAAAATCTGAACTGTTTTATATTTTAGTGGTATTGGAGGCTTCTGAAATTATTTCCAAATGACTTTGGAAAAGATCTGAAGACAAATCTAATGTCTTTCTCTCTCTCTCTCTCTCTCTCTCTCTCTCTCGGTGGTAGGGAATGAGAGATAAGAAACTTTTCTAAGATAGAACACACAGACACACAGACACACAGACACACACACACACTGCATTATTGTGGTTTGGATTCTTTGGGAGCAAATGGGGGCAAATTCCAGTGTCTAGTTCCTGTGTGTGCTCTACAAAGTAATTTATTTTCATAATGACTTCTTATTCTTGCTCTCTTAGTTTACTTTTCCATCCTTCTTTTCAGATCAATTTATTACAGCAGGCGGCACATTCTCCTAGGTAAATGTCAGACATGATTTTAAGAAAAGAGATGATTTTTAAATATTTGGAATCTTAACATACAGTATTATAATTCTTCCTTGGAGACTCTTTCTTTTGGAAGTGGTAGAGTTGTGGTGTTTGCCAAGGGCATGCTTATGGGGAATGTAAAAGAAGGAAGCAGATTTGACTTTAGTAAGTGATGAAGTAATCAGTAACCATGAAAAATTTTGCAGTTAAAACAAGCTCTCACATATCTAGTGTGCCTCTCTGGGCTCTGTAGTGCAGAAAGGTCATAGAAAACACATTCTTGCGACAGTACAACATGTGGATTCCTCATTTTTTAAGGATTTCAGTGTTTCTCAAGAGGTGAAATATCATATTTATTTAAGAACTTAGATATCTTTATTGTAGTATTGGATACTTTTGAATCTAAGTTCTAACACTTAATGGGTTGCTTGTGAGCTTGAACAAATTAATTTCTTTTGCAAATATTCCTCATCTGTGAAATGATGATAATATTCCACTGGGTTGTAATGACAATTAACTAAGATGATGTATTATAATGTTTAATGTAGATGATGACCACATAGTAAATAATAGATAATATTATTATTGTTGTTATTATCATTATTACTATATATTGAGAGATTTGAAAATAGTATCTGACACCTGGCATAAAGTAGTATATAATCCTGGGGACCTAATGTAACAAGGAGAAGTCAGGTTGTGGTAACATGTGACTGAGCACAGAGTAAGTAATGAACCAACCAGCCTCAACAAGTTTTCAAATTTTAGCATTTTAAATAAAATTATTTCCAACTGTAATATTTCTTTAGAAGGAGGCACAATTTTTGTGGTCACAGGTCTGTTTGAGTTTGAATTAGATTTAAGAACAGATATTTCTAAATAGTCAATGCATAATATCTTTCAATATGCTTAATGTTTCTAAGTAAAAGTCCAAAACCATAAATAACTATAATATTTATCAGCTCATTTGAATGGAAAATGTCTTTTTTCTGATTAAAAAAAGCAGTATCTATTTTTGTAAACATTTTTGAAACTGCCAATAATTTCTGCTAAAAAGGATACTAAAGGCAATAAAATATAATCCAAATTCCATCTTCCAGATATAATCATTGTCAATATCTGATATGCTTTTTTTCAATATTTTTACTAGGCAAATATCATAAAATT